CATCGAGAGAAATGGTCAAATATCAGTACTTCTTTTGTCTACACACATGATCAGCTTAGCACTTACAGCTCCTTCACAAGCACAAATCCAAGGGTTAAAATCCAGCTAGTAGTAAATTCTACATGGTTTAAGGTTTTTTTTTTAATTTTACTTCTTATTTTCCTTTTCCTTTAGAGCATCAAGTCACTGCGGTAAATTAATTCCATGTTCAATGTCATTTCGTTTTCAGCATTTACATATGACATTCATTAAAACAGACAGACAAAGCGAGCAAGCTCCCCACACGAAAAAAACATGCTTACATAGCCTGCAAACATTATTTTTTTGAAATTTTTACTCTTCCCCCCCAAAAAACAGACCAAAATGACAAAAATAACAATGAATACAGGGGAAAAAGGAAGACTCAAGTGAAGAGCAAAGAGATGCGTGTTTCGTAGAACTGAAACAAACATGGTATGCTTTTATTGTTTTTTTTTTAAATTGTCCTTTCCCCTCTCAAAAAAACAACAAAATAGCCTTGCTTAAATTGTTCAATAAAGCACAAATGGAAAAAAGAAGAAGAAAAAGCTGCAAATATATATATTACACTTACTAAATCCTTTCCCCCCCCTTCTTTTAATAAAAAGTGCAATCTCTCAAGCCAACAAAAAATAAAATAAAACAAAACTCAGCTAAAGCAGTCTGGAGTGATCGAACTGTCCCTCCACCCATGTGAAATATGAAACAGCAAAAACGGGAACATTCCATTCAAATCGGATCAGAAGCCCTTGTTACATTTTAGCACCCAGTTAGCAAATACCTGTGTGTCTGTTTTTCATTCACAGGAAGAAGGGATCTGCATGACACAGTAGCAGTGGTTTGCTTTCACTTTAACTGCAAAGGCTTTGTCCTAAAGAACTGTGGGATTTGCAGTTTGGGAAGGTAATGTCCAGAAAACTATAATGTTCTCCCTGAACCAGAGCAGAGGATTTTAGGTCCCTCACCAAACTGTAAAACCTAGTTATATTATAGAGGAAAGCCATGGCAGTTGAAGTAGGAGGAAAGTCCCACAGGGTAGATTCAGTCAACATGCCTGACACCAAAGCCCAGTTCAGTTGCTACCTCCCCATGTATGCCGAATCTGCAGTTGGCTCTTACATAATGGGGTTCCCGGAGCCCCAGATGTCTTCTGGAAGTATTTAATGGGCAGCTTCTCCATACAGATGTAGCTACCTCAGCTTCCCTCTAATAGGAGTTCTGGGGAAAGTGGTGAGTTTATGAAACATCTCAATATGAGGCCAGTGGGCACAGTAGAGGCAAATAAACGAACAGGGCTCCTCGTAGCTGCCTGTGTTAATCATATGGATCCTGAAGCAACCAGAATGGTAAATACATTCTGCAGCTACTGGCCAGAAGGTTTGGAGTCAATGGGCATCAGGCCTGGCTTATGAATAGAAAAAGGGACGGGCAGATTGAGCCGATGGAAGTCTGGCCTGTATTACTTCCAAAGACAAGCTGGTCTGTTAAAACACACTATTAAAAACAGGCACAGAAATACTCACAATTCAGGAAGGAAGGAGAAAACTCTATTGCATTAGAGAGAGACTCTACCACTGTGCATAAAACACAGAAATATTCACAATTGAGAAGGAAGGAGAAAACTCTACCGCATTAGAGAGAGACTCTACCACTGTGCATACACTACTCAGTAAGCTTTTTTCTTCAGAGAAAGCATTTTTCTTAAGGGTGCCTTAACGATGGGGACCTCCTAGTTGTAGTCTAAAACGATGACCATTTACTTTACCACCTCAAAGCTTACAAACACCGCCTTGTGCCGTACGTGTAAACCAAACCAGTAGAACAAGGGGTGCAAAGCCAGTAGAACAAGGGGTGCCTGCCAGAAATTCAGTGACTGCAATTGTCATCAGCCCCAGTCAGCACAACCAGTCATGAGCGATGGGAAGGTAGAGGTGAACAATTGCAAAACTACCACTCCCTCTCTCCCTTAGAGCAGGGCTTCCCAACCCCAGGTGTTCCTAGACTGTAATTCCCAGAAGTCTTCACCACCAGCTGTGGTGGCTGGGGTGTCTGGGAGTTGCAGTCCAAGAACATTTGGGTTACCCAAGGGAACCATTGCCTTACAGAGTTATCTCTCCAATGCACTTGGATGATCCTTCCTGCAGCGCCCCTCTTGATGGCTCCTGTGGGGTTTTCTACTCTGGATATTATTCTGCCCTATTTTTTTCCCTACCATAAAAAGTGTATCATCAGAATTCAGCTTCAGCGTGGCACATCTGGGCCACAAAGCTGCATTTTAAAATTTTGGGATTTTTGATTTGATTTGATTTTAAGACAAACCTAAGACAAACCTATTGAGGCAATTGTATCAATCTCCTTTTTCCTTCCAAAAAACTGGCAAATGTCCGTCCGAATGCAAAGGATCATTATTTTTATTTTATTTGTCAATATAAAACAAATTATAAGGACATGCAAAGTATGTGGCAAAATATCAGCTAAGCAAAGAAATGAAAAAGATGGGCAAAGCTAAGAAGCAATTAGATCGGACTTATTGATTGCAATGGTTGTTAATGTAGTAGCTGAATATAAATGGATTTGGGGTGTGTCTGACTGATATGATTTTAAGCTAAATTTGCCTGGATCTGTTTTTACTCTTTCAAAATATTTGTAAGCCACCTTGAGCACTCTCTTTTAGTGGAAAGGTGGGGTATAAATGTAATAAATAAAAATAAATAAAACAATCCCCTCATTATATCCCATATGGGCCATAAAATTCTACAACATTCTTCAGTAGGGTGGAACATGCCATATCCATGTATTCATGTTCAGAAATCGGAAACTTCTGATTGCTCAATCTGGGGCGTCCAATTTGAATTCATGGCACATATTCAGAAACTAGGTGGGAAGGCAGAAACATGCTAATGGCCACATCTATTTGGCAGAGCACACAGAGTCTGCTTATGCACTTCCTTTTGGTTGGATGAGCTGCCTCTGAACAACACAGGATTTGGAGAAGAAGCAATCATTTTGTTGCATATCAGCAACATCACAAAGTGCAATGCCCTGTATTGGCACAAATGGTTGAAGGATCAGTGCCAAGGTATTGCACTTTGGATGCCGTTCTAGGCAAATCCACTTATATCATCGGAGAGGTGCTCAGAGGGAGTGCCATGCAACACAACACAGCCAAGTCTTTCTCTATACACACCTTCATGCACACCAAGACAGCCCAGGGCATGGGAGGTCAATGAACATCATCCATAACCCCATTCAGCCTTTCCTCTTCAGCTAGACATTTGATCTCTAAAACGGCCTCCCTCAATTAAAAAGGGAAAAGGTCCTACAGGAGAAAAGAGGTCCACACAATGTCTCGTTCTACATAAACTCCTGATAACAGTCCTTTTGCATAACAGGGAGCCACGAATCCAAGCCGATGTTCTGCAATGAGTCCTCTAGCACTGCAGTTACTATTAGACTAGATTAAATGCCATGCCCAGAATCCTGCTGAACAACTACACATGTGCGAATTGAATGGCATTAACTCACTGCTGTGCATTGTCACCAATTAATGAGACACCAGTTGCATTACTAGGCACACCTGTTATTCAGTCAGTCACATGCCTTGTAACAGGACTAGCACCTCATTAGTTAGCTGCAATTTACCACAGCGAGTTAAACAATTTAACTCACACATTGATATATCAACAACAGGATTCTGGCTTCTGCAGTTTCAAATAACTGCTTCTTTTGTTCAAAGTTTTCTAGAAGACTTTTTTTTTTAATGGGGCCCATTTAGAAGCATGCTTTCTAGCTGGAGATCATTTTAGTCTCCTAAACCATTGAAGTGAATTGTTTGGAAGGATCTTTCAAGAATTTGTCTCCAATTTAAGAAGAGTTAATGCTTCCAAAGATGGAGAACTCAAGTCCTCTTCAGGCGTTACACACTGAATTTGTGTGCAATTCAGAGCTTCAGGAGGATGCAAGGAATGATCCAGGTCTCTCTGCTCATCCACAGCACAGATCTTGAGGAGTGGCTGTTAAGTGTTTTTATGTTTACAATGATCATATCGATCCAGATCTCTCTGCTCATCCACAGCACAGATAAGTGTTTTTATGTTTACAATGATCATATGATCTGCAGCCTTGAAAAAGAAGGCAGGGTTCTTAGTCATGGGAGGGCTGAAAGCATGTTGATGTGACTACAATTACAGGAACCTATTCAGACCTTAGTGTATGAAGGTCTGGAGGACTTCCAATGGGAAGAGAGGCACTGGGCATGGACTTAATTTTTTCACATCTCCATCCTCACCAAGCTTAAAGCGCTATCTGGCTTCAGGTTATAACGCCTGAATAGGGCTTCGGTCTCTTCAGAATCTGATGCTTTCACGATAAGCACAGTGGAAGACCCCACCAGTAGGATATCAGTTGGACTGACCAAAAGGCTGGACTGCCTTAGCAGCTGTTAAAATCTTACTACTAAAGACCAGTAGATTCTCGTGACAACCTGGCCATGAAAAGATGCAGCCATCAGGATGTTGTCATTGGTGGGCAGGAAAGACAGAGGACAATTTCAATCCCAAAATAAGGCAACTTAAAAGAAAATACAACACCTGGGAGCAAGCACGCACGGGCGTGTGCACGCACTCACACATGTACACACACACATACTTACAAAATATAAAGAGAAAATAAAATAAATGATCTTTCAATCCCAGAATGGGGGAAGAGTACTTTTTAAAAAACCCTCTTAAGGATGAGATACTTCCCACATTCCCAATTACACCTTGGGCTGAAACCTTAACAGCACAGATTCTACTGTCATTTATATGGAAAAGAGGGTGCCAATAAGTTTGGTCTTGAATCATCATCTCCATGTTCCCTTTAAAGTAGCATGATTGCAAGTCCAGTTTCCGAAACATCCAGTTTAAATCTTTTAATGCTTTCTTCAACCATTTAACCCAAACCTTCCTTTATTTAAAACAAAACGAAACTGAGAAGAGACGTCCCTGGAAAAATTCACTTTATCCTTCCTTTAAAACAAAACAGAATAAAATCATGCCAATGGTAACACAAGCCCAAGTTCTACATTTTAGTGTTTGGCTTCCTCGCATCTCCCAAGCCGTCAGGAAACAGGGAACTGGTTCCCAAATGTGTAAAGATGTGAAAGTGAGTTATGTTCTGTGAAGATGGTGGGGAAAGAGGGTTGACAACCAAGGGGACGAAGGGGGTGGGGAAAATGGATCTGTAGCCTCAACTAGGCCTTACCCATAGGTTGCCCGCAGTAACCATCACAGGCTCTAAAAGAATCAAAAAAAGGGTTTTCAAGTGTCCCACCCTCTACTATGAGCCGCTAAGCGGCCATGTTCCCCTCCTTATTCTTTAACCCAAGCTGGTAATATTGGCACGGCCACCGGGTGGCGCCACGATGCGCTGCGTGGTACGGCGAGGAATATTATCATCAATTTGTGCACCTAAAGAGAGACAGGGCAGGGAGTCAGGGAAAAAGAGAGAGAAAGAGAGAGAACAATATATAAGCCTAGGGCACCAGCATGTATAGGCACATAAAATTAACCAGTTCAGCGTAGCATCTCGTTGAACCAGCTCAACATGCTTCCAGCACACAGTTGTTCATTCAGCACATTTTGGAGGTCTATCTATCTTAAAAGTTAGTGTTAAAACTCTGGTGATAACCTGGGGGAGCCACCAAAATGCCCCAGGTATGCCACATGTGACTTCTGCCCTATACATCGCCAACCCCTGCTTTTGGGGTCATATAGGCAGATGGTTTCTGTCAACCCAGAAAGATAGGAAGCCCATACGCCCATCCAGCTTGTTACTGTTTAGGTTGATTACAAGTGCTATCAAGAGCAGAAATGGGCATAAAACACCCGTTTGGTGATTCGTGCCAATTCGTTTAGTGGCCAAACAGGGGTTCGGCCCGTCAAAGCCCTACCTCTTCCAGTGGGCACCCTCTCGGAAGCAGTGGCCTGGCTTCCCTGCCCCACCTCCTCCAGTTGCTGCCTCTGAAGGGGAGCCTGCCAGAGGTGGGGCTGGGAACAGCTGAACACCCGTTTTGCCAATAAACGAACCCACACGAAGGACAGAACCAATGGTGCGTGCCCATCTCTAATCAAGAGTTTCAACCAGCAGTCTTTTTGAACCCAGGACCTTCTACACGGCCCAGCATGAGGTCCACCGATGGGCTATGCCCCTTCCCCAACTGCATGTGATGCTTAGTTCTTTCAAAGTGTGTATCTCTGTCCTTATGACCTCTCCCATCTGCTCTGAAAAATAAATATATGGGGGGGGAAAACATCCGAGAGATCTACTTTCCAATTATTAGGAAGCACAGCAGCCAGAAGGTAAATGATTTGTCAATGGTGGCCTCCAAACTATGTACATTCATTTTTAAGAGAACGTTTGTAAATTCTGCTTTTTTCTTTTTCTTTTGGAGGGCAAGTTTAAGAGTCTTATCAATCCATGGTGCTCTATTAGATCTTACTTGACCAGTTTGGAAACCTCAGCCTATGGTGCTGTGATATCTCCATTTTTTTTAACTTCACTGGCAATTTTAAAAGTGGCAGGTGGGGTCTTAAAAAAGTTTGTAGTGGTGTACACGAAGCCCATGGGCTATATATTGTTCAACAATGACCAGAGCCTCTAAGAAACCTCCCATTTCTCATTGTTCAGACCACTTTAGAGATATCCCACTTCTTAACAAAGCCAGTGAGATCCATGTTTTTAACAGAAGTCAAACAGAGGCAATAAACCAGAAAGACTCCCATATTTCTGCTTGGTCTTAGAAAAAAGCAGAAACACAATGCTGAGGAACAGAAATGCAATGCTCAAGAAAATGACTATGCTGGATTTGGCCAGCCAAATTGAAATCCACTCGTTTGTCCTATCCTGTCCCCAATCATGGCAGAAAAGGTGCACAGAAAACTTTCATTCTCTATGCTCAACATCATCAGGTGTGTGAGTGATGCACAAGGAGAACCACTATTCTAAGTAAATATATATAAATAAAAGATTTCACCATAATATTTTAGCCTCACATAGGTATGTACCAGACAAGCTAAATCCAGACTGGTGCAGGTTCCTAACAGGTGGCGCCTGCTGTTTCGCCGGAGACGTCTTGGCTGAAGATGCTGGTGTGACCGTTTTGGGGGTCACCGACACTTCACAGACGGGGCCGTCGTACAGGCCACGAGGCACACCCCTCAGCTCGGCCAGCTGGGCAAGAAAGAGGGAAAGGTATCATGTCTCTTACTTTTACTTACTTTTATTGAATTTATACCCCGCCCCTCTAGTTCTGATTAAATGCATTTTGATCATTGACAGGTTATGGTTGGGGTTTTTTTTTAATGCAGGCCCACTGCTTCCCTGCTCAGCTTCCACCACCAGGTGCTGCCTCTGAATGGGAGCCAGGCCACAAGGAAGCAGGGCTGGGAAGTGCCAAACACCTCTTCATCGGCGCTGCCTCTGAATGGGAGCCCGGCCGCAAGGAAGCGGGGCTGGGAAGTGCCAAACACCTCTTCATCTGAAGGACAAACCAGCAGTTCATGCTCATCTCCAGGTGTGAGAGACAGGGAGCTAAAAGAAAACATGGCTTGTACATGTGCAATATCTTTGCAGTCTTCTCCCCCGAAGACTTCAGATTTTTTAAAATTACTGTATGGAAAATGGTAAAAGGTAAAGGCTCCCCTTGATAATTTTTATCCAGTTGTGTTCGACTCTAGGGGGCGGTGCTCATCCCCATTTCCAAGCCATAGAGCCAGCGTTTGTCCGAAGACAATCTTCCGTGGTCACATGGCTAGTGTGACTTAGACACGGAACGCTGTTACCTTCCCACCGAAGTGGTCCCTATTTATCTACTTGCATTTGCATGCTTTTGAACCGCTAGGTTGGCGGGAGCTGGGAGAAGCGACGGGCGCTCACTCCGTCACGTGGATTCAATCTTACAGCTGAAGATCTTCAGCGCCACCACGTCCCTTGGCAAATAGCTCAGCGAGTTAGGGATCTGGCTGCGGAGCCAGAGGTTAAAAATTCAACTCTTCACTGTGCAACTCAAAAGAGCCAGCCTGTGTGACCTTGGCCAAGTCTCAGGGCACCTCCAGAAGAAGGGAATGGTAAACTACTTCTGAGTACTCTCTAACTAGAAAACCCACAAAAGGGCTGCCATAGAATTGACTTGACCGCACATAATTATATTATTTATAATCCAGTGTCCTTCAGCTTTATGGAACTCTCATTTACACTGTGTACTCACCCTGCTCCTTGCCTTGATGCGCTTGTAAACGAAGTCAGGGAACGGTTTCCTAGCAATGTATCGTCCAGAGCCCTCAGTTACGTGAAGATTACCATCCTCCAGCACTATCTTCCCTTGGCTGATGACCACCAGCGGTGACCCACGGCACTCCATGCCCTCAAAGATATTGTACTCCACAGACTACAAAGGGAAAAGAGGAGTGAGAGACCAGATCCCAAAGTTTAGGGCTCCATGAAGAGTTGAGATGCCACTACTAGAAATACTGTGTCTTTAAATTATGACTTCAAGAGAAGCTTTATTACAACTTTTGTGCCAGGTAAAGAACTTTCACTTGCCCAACCCTTTTAGAAGAGCTGGAATTTGTCTTCTCTTTTTCACATGGATTTTAAAAGCTGGATCTAGCCGCATTCAGAACTGGATGTAGAACACCAGGTAACAAACATCAGGCTGGTGCAAAATGTTGTGGAGCAATGACTTGTTAACAAGTTTAAAATAATGACCAGAAACCTGCTGGGGAAAAAATGCATGTGACAGTAATTCTACAAAGGGGTGTGAACTATGGCCAGTTGTCTGTTACATGACCACTTGCATACCAGTTGCAAAATCAGTTACGTGATTAGTCACATTCCACTTTGTTCAATTTTGGCTATTTATCCATTCCACAAAGGTCATTTTGTTCCTGTCTTCTGATCTGCCACCAATCTCTTCTGATAAGCACCCCCATCATCCCTTCTAAGGGAAGGGCCACACCCAGATGCCCAGGGCAGCCGAAGCTGCAGACTCTCTGATTTTGGTGCCGCTCGAAATTCCCCTCCAAGTTTCAGTCAGAACTTTATAGGAGTTATCCAAGGTGCCGAAATCTTTCTGGTGTTCAGGTTCAACTCACTGGAGTTTCAGCACCTTGGAAAGCTCCAGTAAAATTCCAACTATTGCACATGTTGCAGAAATTCAGTGCTATGGCAGTTGTGGGAAAATCTCACTTCAGCTTTCCTCAGAATGCATCTTCTTGGAAAAAGAAGCTGTGCAGAGAGTGTGCCGCTAGTTTAAGACCGTTTTCTAGAGGTATGTCCTACCCACATGCTAGAGGTATATCCTACCCACATGCTTTCTTTCACTCCTTTTACTTTTACACCATCAGCTTTGGAGTTGGCCACAGAGGCTGCGTAAATGTTGGGGGAGGGGGATTCAAGAGGCCTGCCTGATAACTACTCCCAATTTAAGTCACTTGTAAATGAAGTTGAAAAAAATACTAAGGTTAAAATAGAGACCTACAGCATTGCACCTAAACATCCATTTCCATCCAGTTTGATACAAAGCCATAAAGGAGAACTCTGAATACTTTTTCTGCATCCAGTTGTGAATCCACCTGATGTGTTTAGCATCTGCTCCCAATTTAATCCATTTGCTAATCAAAATAATCACAGGGGAAATTTTGTCAAATTTCCTATTGAAAACAAGGTAAGTCTAACTCTCTTCACAGACTTCCCTGCCCAAAATATGCTTTTCAGCTTGGAATGAAAAGCTGTGTACCTCCTGCATACTGTAGAGGGATTTAAAACCACATTATAGGATACATAGTCAGTTCACATGCCTTGCTAGATTCACAGACTGACTGTCACAGCCAACAATTCCTTTGTGGAATGCATGTGATTCAACTGTTCCCCTGATAGTTATGTCATTTGCATGATATTATTTTTTTAAGCAAAGTATATTCCCCATATCCATGGAGGATTTGTTCCAAGACCCACATCCTCAGCAGATGCTTAAAACCTCAAATAGCAAATGATAAAAGTATAAAATCCAGAAATATATAATTTCTCCATGTAGTACTAGAATTGGCCACTAGAAGGAGCCAGATACCCTGCTACATATTTTTCAACAATACACAGCATGGTCTATGGCTCCCTCTACTGGACATTTCTGGTAAATATATTGTGAAAATATATATTTCTATGTTTTTTTTTCCTTTTCATATTTTCAGACCATGGATAAGTGAAATCATGGATATGAAGCCCATGAATATTGGTGTTCCACTGTACCAGTAGGTAACTTTCTTAGTTCAAGAAAGCCTGCCTGCTAGTTCTTAATTTTTTTACAGATAAAAAAAATTAAATATGTTTCCAAAGAGCTACGGAACCCAGCATGAACAAATCACGTTACTGCATTTCTGCACAGTGATATCAGGTTTTTCCACCTGAGAGCCTACTGCGAAGATATATTAACCTTCACTCTGCTTCAGCTTCTTCTAAAGAAAACTGACAACCAATGCAAGACTTCAGAGAAGCTTTAAAAGTTTCATTCAAAAGAGCACTTCCTGCCAATGGGAAATAATTTCATCTTTTCTGCTTCTGAATGAGAACAAGAATTCATAACAGGAAATCATACATGAGCAGAGAGAGGGAGGGAGGGAAGGAGAGAAGTCGCCTCCCCCCATTCACATGGCTTTCTTCCAGTAGCTAGACTGGGACGTAAACAGGCCCACACAGTGGTTTTTCTCTCTTTCTTCCAGGGCCATAAGTTCAGAAAATGTTCCTTTTAAATTGTCTAAAGGTCATTTCCAACATTCCTTTCCAGACTGTGCCCCTACTATGGATTTTCAAGAGAATACTCTGCTGAGGTTCTTCCAGAATCCAAAACAGACACGATGCAAAGGATTCAAAATTAAACCACTCTGTTGATTTTTCCTCCACTTGAATTTTAAAGCAACAGAAAGTTCGGATTTTGTAGGAGAAGCAAGATGGGGGAGGGGGCTTTTGCAACCCACCTTCCTTGTTGTTTCAAGCAATCCTTGTTCATAGTTTTTTTCTCAGTCTAAAACTGCCCTGAGGCAGAAGTTAATCCTTGAATCATTTGCTGCACAGAAAACTCAGCAGCAAAACACAAGAGAGCCATATTTCCCGAAGTGGTTTTCTTGGTTGTTTTTACATTGGCCAATGCTTTTTTGGAAGATATTAAGATTTCTTCGTTGGAGCGACTGATAAAATATTTTATACATTGCTGTCCTCTCAAATCTACCAGGCATTGTCAAACAACAAGCACGGGCACTTTGAAAAACATGTTTCTCATTACTTTTTTTTTCAGTGCCATTTTCTCCTTTAAACAAAAACAACAGCAAAATGAAAACTCCGAATATTTCAGGGGTCAGTAAGAGTGAAAATAAAAGTCATATTACAATGTGTTCCAAAATGTAAACTATAACCATGCTTCATCGGGGAAATTACAGATAATAAAGTAATTCAATTTGATTGATCTGATTCAGGAGGTGCAAGAAAGTTAGTAGTTTGGTTACTGTGGGTTTTCCAGGCTGTTTGGTCATGTACGGGAGGTTTTTCTTCATAACGTTTCACCAGTCTCTGTCGCCGGCATCTTCAGAGGACAGGAGCTACAACTCTGTCTGTGTTCTGTCTGAGAAACAAAAACCCTGATCCCACAGTTACATATACTCAACAATCCCACACACTACACCAGAACATAGACAGAATTCCAGCTCCTATCTTCTGAAGATGCTGGCCACAGAGAATGGCAAAACATTAGAAAGAAAAACCTCCAGAACACGGCCAAACAGCCCAGAAAACCCACAACAACCCTCAGATCCCGTCCGCGAAAGCCTTCAAGAACAAATTAATAGTTTCATTCTTCAGAATTTCCCTGACGAACGTTATTAATTATTTTAATTTGTATTTAAAAATGTGAAAGGTACTGGAGGTCATTCCTAGCATTTAGATGAAAGCAAAGCCATGGGAAAAAGCATTCTGGAGAGATGACTTACTATGTTATGAGTCTTAGCCGAGATAGTCTTGACGCTGTCTGGGTCCCAGATGACCAGATCAGCATCAGAGCCCACTGCAATACGACCTTTCCGTGGATAGAGGTTGAAGATCTTGGCCGCATTGGTACTGGTGACAGCTACAAACTGGTTCTCATCCATCTTACCAGTTACCTATTCGGACAGGGTGGAAAGAAAACGATGGTCCCATCAAAGAGGAAAATCACCAAGAAAGCAATCTTGAAAGAAGATTATATTGCTATTATTACATGCCATCAAGTCACCTCTGCCCCCGAGTGACCCCTATGAATGGAGTGACTGTTATAAGATGCCAGAATGTGAAATGATAATAAGGATGCAAGAACTAAACTGCTGCAAAGTTTGTGTGAATTTTCAGATGTTTGAGTCATAACTTGCTCGTACAGATGAAATCCTACAGCACTTGGCATTCAGTAAAGTTACACCTATGAAGGTACACTGGGAGTTACACCAAGGCAGTTTGCATTGTGCTCCTGATTGCACAATTGACTGCACAACTGATTGTTTAACTAACTGTGTACTTGCTGGATATAACTTCTGCCCTTGTGCAAATTAAGACTGCAAATAACTCTTGCACAACTTCATGTTATGCAGGCACAGCTGTGCAATGGGATTTGGGCCATCAGATCCTATCCATAGAGCATTTTCATCTCTCATAGTCTTTCCTAAGGTTCTGTGGCTGTGATGAGATTGGAAAAGCCTCCCTCTAACTTGACACAAATCAGTTTCTCCCTATGGTCAGACTGGGGAAAACTGTGGCTTACTTAAGCTAGAATTTCAGATCAAGCCAGGATCTTAAGCCAACTGGAATTTTTGTATGACTGCAAACCCTGGTAAAGCAGGACTCCAAACTCTTTAGACATATTAACCTGGCTTGAAGCGAGTGTATATACAAAAGCCTCTTGAGAATGTAAGTCCAGTGTTCAATTGAGTGCCCATTCAAAATGAGAGGCTAGAAACATGGAAGAATAAGAATTTTGGGGTGTGGGGGGAGTAGCTTGTTTTGATGCCTTCACTGACACTGCCTATTGTGCCATGACATGCACAGGCCAAATGCTTATACTGGGCTGGGGAGTCAGAAGGATGCTTAGAGCATCTTCAAGTCAAGGGATAATTCTCAGTCAAGTGAGAAAAATCCTCCAAATGTTTCAAGAGCAGAACCTTCAGATCAGTTCGAGATACGCTGGGGATTGAGAAGGTATCCACGCGACATCATACTAAGAGTTTGATACCACTGTAACAGTCAAAGCTCCATTCTAGAGTACCTGCTGAGGTACTAAAAATTCTCTGCTGTCATTACGGACAGTGCACTACAGCAGAGAATTTGTAAGTTCTTCTTAAGCTTCTGTAGGGTAGAGCCACAATTAGCTCCCAACAACCTATGTAGTATAAACATACTTTTCTTCTAATGATGTTGTAGATCAGTGATTCCCAACCTTGGGTCACCAGATGTTCTTGCACTGCAACTCCCAGAAAATCCTGTCCAGCACAATGAGCGGTCAAAGCTTCTGGGAGTTTTAGTCCAAGAACATCTGGGGACCCAAGGTTGGGAATCAGTGTTGTAGATTCACATCCTCATTTCAACGTTTGCTCCTAAGCACAGTTATCGTTAGCAAACCCCTGGACAGGATATCCATTAACATTACCACGGTCTTGGTAAGCCACAATTCCTTGCCCCTGAAAAAAAAAAATCATACCACAGCTTTATCCCAGATGATGGACATCCTTTGGTGACCTGAGCTTCGACAGGAGCGCCGACCATATCAGATGGATAATCCCCCAGAGCATTCAGGAATCCATCTGGATCCATCAGTCTCCGAGGGCGGATCATCTTAATAGATCCCCCACCCTTGCAGAGGGAAGAAGCAGCTAATAGACTGAACTTGACCAGGAAGTGGTCTGACCATGACAATGGGGTCATAACCAGCCCCTCCACATCCAAACCACCATTAACATTACCAAGGTCTTGGTAAGCCACAATTCCTTGCCCCTGAAAAAAAATCATACCACAGCTTTATCCCAGATGATGGACATCCTTTCCTCAGTTCCATTGGTTCCTTCAGGAATGAGAGTAAAGTTGTCCTTGCCGACAGCCTTCTGAGCCGTGTTGAAAGTACAGTGGCCACTGCCAGTGACCTGGAGATCACCACTAAAAAAGAGAAAAGGAGAATTAATAGAAGGCATGAATGGTAAAAAATTTGAAATACCAGAGTGCCTACCTCCACATTTAATGGGAATCAACTTCACGAATCAAGTTCTAGTTAAATTTCCCCCTTTCTTTCAAATTTAACATCTACTGAGCAAACATGGGGGGAAGGAATGTTTACAGTGGTTTACAGAATCTGCAGAATTCCTAGTTAAACATTTAAATGACTAACAGAATTCAAATGCTAGTGCAGTCTTTTCCTACTAACTTAATCAAAAGTGAATAATGTAACGTCCGAATAGGGTTCAGTTTGTTCCTGAAACAGTTCCATTTAATTTAATTTTTTTCCAAATCTTATTTCAGCTTATTCTAGTTCTGTTCTAGCAGAACGGTGTCTGTTTGTCATTTGTTTTCAAAGGAAGCTGCTTCTAGTGGCTATTTTTACTCAAACAAATGGTGTGGTTAAAGTATCTCCATATCTGAGCTTTTCTTTAAAAGAAAAGAAAAACTTCTGAAAGGATAGCAAAAACTGCACTCACACAGAAAGACCTGAAAATCCAGATGCCAGTCCCAAATGAAACAGAGCTGTTGATTCACCTGCTAAATTATGAGTGTGGTTACATATAAGCCCCATTGATTCAACAGGTCAGCAAGACGGGCTCGGACTACCAAACTGATTTAAGCCGGTGATCATTTCTTTGGAAAAAGGACTGAGGTCTTTTGCTTTTAAACCAGACTGGTCAAATTCTTCTTGCACATATTACACTAGCAAAAGTGAAGTCAACTGCAACAGCAGATTGCTGCTAGTTAAAAAGCTCCTGTTTCAGTCCTTCGTTGCTTAGATGTAACCTTCTTGTGTAGAAGTTGGGTAGCTTCGCATGCAGCCCAACATCGAAGCAGTCCTTTTAATTAGTCCCAGTCTAAATCCTGGAAGAGTTCAAAAGGAATATTCTTGCATGAAGTAGCCTGTCACTAATTAAAGTCTCCACTTCAATTCCAGGTCAAATGTGAAGCTCCCCCCCCCAAAAAAAGGAGATCATGTTTAAGCACTAAGGACTAAAGGAGAGAATTCTGTGACAAGTGGCAATCTCCTGCTGCAAATGATGTCACTTCCCTTACATTGATGTTAACTTATGCAAGAGGATTTTAGCCAAAGAATATTTAGTATCATTTCCTGCAGTGTTCCAAACTCAAGGAATCTGGAATGATGACTGTACTCAACCAACTGGCTGCACTCTATGAAATACTTCTGTGAAAGCATCTCTAGAGAGGTATTTGGAAGAGGCAGATCCTGTAAGCATCCTTAAGCATCCCCACCCACAGGTTTTCTGAATATGTGCTAGATTTGGACAGAAAGTGAAGCATGAGAAACTGAACTGTGGAAATTCATCTTCCATCTGGCATTGACGTAGGACTCAAAGTACCAAACTGAATGACTTATACTTGCCACAAAGAATATTATATTGACCCAACTGCAATGCCACCATTAGCTAGAAACCTCTTCTCCACTGAGGCCAGATTCCTATGGGGTAATTCATTAGGCCAGGAAAAGACAAAATACAGCCTGTGATATATATGCAGCCTGTGAGGGAAGCAGATGAGGGCCATCAGCACCCCTACAGACTTCTGACCCCCTGTGAATATTTTGATTAGAACACCCCCTTGGGCTCTTTAGGGAGTATGGGAGGCAACTGTGCCAAAGTTTAGCCACCAGCATCTCTGGGACCTCATTCATACCCCAAATGTTTCTAGTATTCGCTTTAAAGGCCTGATAAAGTATAAAGAGTTTTCTCCATTATTAAGAAGCAGTCTCTTCTAAGGAAAATGTTTTGAGGACTGTATGAGGTTCATAGGGGATGTGGTGGCGCTGCAGGTTAAACTGCAGAAGCCTCTGTGCTGCCAGGTCAGAAGACCTGCAGTCGTAAGATCGAATCTATGCGACGGAATGAGCTCCCATCGCTTGTCCCAGCTCCTTCCAACCTAGCAGTTCAAAAGCATGTAAAAATGCAAGTAGATAAATAGGTACCACCACGGTGGGAAGGTAACGGCGTTCCGTGTCTAGTCGCGCTGGCCACGGAAACTGTCTACGGACAAATGCTGGCTCTACGACTTGGAGATGGGGATGAGCACCGCGCCCTAGAGTCGGACACGACTGGACTGAATGTCAAAATGAGGTTCATATGCAGCATCGCCCTCCATGGTGTATATAGTGGTATGTGCAGCCCTTGGATTTCTGGACTGAGGTTTATATGCAGCATCATCCTCCAAGGTGTAGATGGTGGTATGTGCAGCCCTTGGATTTCTGGACTTTGTCCACCCCGAGCGAGGGGCAATATGGGGCCTCCCAGTGTTGGGGTGCCCCATCGCTGGAGGTTTTCAAGAAAAGATTGGACAGCCATCTGTCAGGGATGGTATGAGGTCCTGGATGGTATGAGGTCTCCTGCCTTGGACAGGGGCTTGGACTAGAAGACCTCCAGATCCCTTCCAACCCTATGATGATTCTATGATTCAATGCCGGGGTAGGGGCGTTATTAGGGTGGCATGCCAGCAGTGGGCAGGGCCATTCCCTTCTCTTTCATGCCCTCTCTGACCTACTTCACTTTTCATTTCTTATGTGTTCATTTTATTTTATATCACACTCCTGTATGTGTAGGGATGCCAAGGGAGTTCACAAACAGTTAAAAACAAGTACCATTGAAGATAAAATAAGCCATCCTATTTTTTTTAGAAAACCATATCACAAAATCTTGAAACTCCAAATAAAAACCAATGTAAAGCACTGAAAATTAGGGACTCCCACGAAGGAGGAAAAAGTACAGCATGCTGCAATAAGTCTTGTTTGGTTCTTAAAAGGACTGCCTAAAATAGGAGCTCTTTGCCTGCCATCTGGGGTACAATAGAGAAGGGAGCAAAACATGATGATTTTGTTCATTATCAGCCCCTTCTTCTCCACCTAGCCAGCTGCTAGAGGAGAGAGAAAAATTATGCTTGTGAAAGATCAAACTGACAGCTCAGATCTTTTGGAATTTGGCTAAAGGTAACCGTTTGCCAAGATCTATTCTGCATTGAGCCAAAAGCTTGTTGTGATCATCCTTAGCTCATGTATTCTCCACTTCCTCCACAAGGAGGTGCTCAAAGGCTTGTTGCAATGATCCTCAAGTCATGTATACCACACTTCCTCCACCAGGAGGTGTTCACAAGCTTTCTATTCCAGTTTTGGGTCAGTCACAACTCACTGTACCGCCCAAACTCACAGGCTGTGATTGACGGGCAACTATGGTTTGCTTGAAACAAGCCCACTTCAAAACCATGGTTTAGGTCAAATCCAGCCAATAATCAAGAGGAGATTTTAGGAGAAGGATCTCCCTGAAAAATCTAACAGTGAAAAAATTGGGGAGTATTGATTGGTGGGAATATGGGGAAAACCCTAACCATGATCAAGCTTCCTTCAAGGCAGCAGTGTGTTGTGGTTTAACTTGGCCATGCTATTCTGATGGCTATGTTGTTGTTGTTTAGTCATTAAGTCATGTCCAACTCTTCGTGACCCCATGGACCAGAGCACGCCATGCCCGTCTTCCACTGCCTCCCAGAGTTGGGTCAAATTGATGTTGACACTGTCAATATGAATTTGACCCAAATTTGATGACACTGTCCATCCATCTCGTCCTAACATGAATTTGACCCAACCTTGATGACAATGTCCATCCATCTTGTCCTCTGTCATCCCCTTCTCCTGCCTTCACACTTCCCTAACATCAGCATCTTTTCCAGGGAATCTGTCCATTTTAGTTCACTAACGCCCAGGATGTCAATATTTATTCTTGCCTTCTCCTGTTTGACCACATCCAGCTTACCAAGGTTCATAGATCTTACATTCCAGGATGGCTATACGTAACATTTATTGACTGTAAAATATGTTCTAATTCGTGAACTGTACAAGAAGATAAAAAAACACTTGGGATAACACTCTGACAGTCTTGACTTCACACCACATTTAACGTTTCCTTGTCCTTGTCATGTATTCATTTGTCCATTGTAAGTCCATCCTGCCTGTTTTCCTGCGAACACAGGATAATATACTCCTTGCCACCTTCCCCTTATTTTTCTGTAACAGGGGTCTAAGCAATGCATCTCATCTCCTATCTCCCTGCTGCTAGAGAATCATCTTCCATTAGCCACTGGAGGTAGAAAATCTTTAACCTGCATACTTTGTGTTGATTCAGCCTTAATTATTTGTTCAGAGATCAGAATTTCATTTCATCACATTTTGTTTTTAAAAAGGACAAAGTAGACCCATGCAATGGAATGTTCCTCCTACTCACCAAGACAGCAGAGAATTGAGGAAGTCCGGAGTGGTTGGATCTGGACTGAGTGGTGGCGAGGTCACAAAAGCAGCCGCTTTGGCCCAGTTTTTACTCCAGTAGTGCGATCCATCCGTACCCAAGCTTGCTGTGATCGGCTCGCCATACACCACAGTGCCTACAAAGAGGGGCGACAACACAACCATTACAACCTCTGCTCAACTCACAAAAGTACATTTTCTTTTGGAATTCTATGGGGGGGAGGCTGAAAACACTCTAATATATTTAAGCTGCCTTAAATACAGTCCATTTGGCTTGTGACAGGCAAAATCCAAGGGTCCAGGACCCCTTAGTAATCCATGGGGGGAGGGGAGAGACTGAAAACACTCTAATTTACTTAAGCTGCCTTAAATACAGTCCATTTAGCCTGTGACAGGCAAAATCCAAGGGTCCAGGACCCATCTGCCATCCTCAGAACTCATCAAAAAACAAAAACAGAGAGCAAGAAAAAGAGGTAGAGACTGGACACCTACTTCCAACCTTGGTGACCATCACTTCTTTCAAAATATGGTGCCCAGGATGGGGCTACAACCAGTTTAAAAGAGGAACAGCCACTCCTAGCTTTTGCAAGTAGCTATTTACCTTCTTTCATGTCTACACAGAGATAGAGAAAGTGAGAGATTCTACCCAGGAAAGGTGTTCCTGGAGCCTACAAAGGTTGATTAGGATGGGCACAGCCTGCAGGAATCCCACCTTTGAACTAGTCCAGTGTTTCCTGCCTCAGTATAAGCCACTTCTCAAGGTCAAGAGCATGGGGTGTTAACCCTTACCCCAGGGACCAAATGCAGTCCACAGAGGTCTCTGATCCAGAGGTCTCTGTGGGAGTTCCTTTGCCGTCCGACTCCCTCCTGCTCCTTCAAAAGGGAGATGGAGCAACAGCTAAGCTAATCTTCACTTCTCGCCTTCCTTCTTCACAGAGGACCCAGGGACCCAGTTATGTAGGGAAGTGGTGAATAGGTTGTCCAATTTCCCTTCTACATAACAAGACCAGGTAGCTTCAGATATGGCCGTTACTCCCTCTCCCCTCCTCTCTCTAACAGATCACTTCCACGTCTTCATCATACTGTTCCATACAAGACAATCTCTGGGATGAAAGAATGTTGTGATTGCCACGTACTTCAGCAGCATTTTTCCCGCAGTTTGAAATAAGTAGTAACATGAGCTGGGATGGCAAGTACAAAAAAAAGCAGGAAGTGACAAAGGACGGGAGAAAAATAATAGGGGGAACGTCTTCCTAAACATGTGGGTGTAACTGTTAATGTGAAGGATTTGTGATGGTGTGGGTGGCTGGGTTTGATTCTCGCCTTCCAAAAAGGTTTAATAAATGATCTTATTAAGGCAGTCACCACCTCTCAAGCTTTCTTCAAGATCTTGCAAGGTGGGGAAAGAGGCTGTGAAAAGAGCTATTCAAACCACCTGGGTTCCTTGGAGGAGTCTTAGAAGAGAAACCTAGACCAGAGGTGGGGAATCTGTGATCCCCTGGAGGTTGCTGGATTACTAGTCCCATCATTCCCACGCACTGGCCAGGTTAAGATATAGGGCATCCCACCACTCTCTATCAAAGAACCATGACTTTCAGAAACAACAACACCACACAATCCTTTTCCCCCTATGAGGAAAATCTATATCTTGACAGATATTACATCTATATCTTGACATCTACTGCAACTGCAGCCAAGAGGCTGCTCTCCAGATGCCATCAAACTCCAACTCCCATTATCCTTCATCAAGGATCAGCAATGGCTGATGGGTGCTGAAGTCCACAACAACAGGTGGAAAGTCACCCTTAGCTCATCTTTGATTTAGAGTTTTTAACGTTACATATTTCAGTAGAATTACTGAGAACACACACACACACAAATAATTTCAAGGAAAAACAGATAATGATTCTATTAATCCATCTGCAAGAGAACAGAAGAAATTTTGATGGAGACCATATTTTTTAGTAATTGTATTTAGAAACTGTATTTGCTGCCTAGACTACTGCACTCTACTGTTGCTATATGTGCCAGTGTCTTGAGAATCACTGATCTGGAAAGACTGGCCACTGAGATGCCTTAGGTAAGTGCCACAGCTTAGACTATGAGTGCATGAATTCTTCTGAGCATGCACGGAGCAAATTTCCCTTCCACGAAAGCTGCCACACATCTGTGGATGCAGCAGTTATGTCTTTCAGGTCACACAACTCACAGGAACATTTGTGTGTTGCAGTTCAGGAACTGCGCAGCCGGCAAGCTGGAAATAAACATTCTCAGCGTGGCACCACCAGAGATGGAAAAGTGATCTCATTAATTTGGGCTTGTTTAGACTGCCTCACACTCAATCCAAATTCTCCACGCATGAGAGAGAGAGAGAGAGAGAGAGAGAGAGAGAGAAACAGTGGGAGGAAATATCTTCAGCTTAAAACACTGACACTCAGAGAGGCTTTAAATAGAAACTAATAAGGATTAAGAAATTAAAAGGGAGAGGGAATGAGAGCTCCTGATGCCATTCAACCATCCATTCCCTGAAGAGCTGAATTCAGAGACAGGATTTGAAGAAAATAATGCTTGGCTAAAGTGCAACAGCGCTGAGTGTCTATGGGCCCCCAAACATGACACAGCTAATGAAGATAGTACTAGGCATAGGGCTGCTTCATACATTAGACCAATGGTTCCCAACCTTGGATAACAATTTCAAGAAGATTTCACCACTAGCTATGCTGGCCATTTTCTTGGACTACAATTCCAAGAAGATTTTACCACTAGCTATGCTGGCCATAGTTTCTGGGAGCTGTAGTCCTTGGGAACTGCTGCATTAGGCTTTTGGAAGTGTACAAGCTTCCGAGCATAAATGCAAAACCAAAAATGATGCATTGGCCATGCAAGTTCTTCTTCAGTCTAAAATGAATTGACCTACCAAGAAGCAGAATGAAGCAACTATTCTGCCCTCAACTATGGTGAAGCTCTCCTGCAGCTACAGCTGAAATAAGATTTAACTGGCAGTCCAAACATTGAAACCGACTTGCTCCTTTGTGGCAAATTCAATAGTTGCCAGGTACGCTTAGCTATTTAAGCTGACATCTGTGCTGTTCTTCAGTCTAAAATGAATTGACCTACCAAGAAGCAGAATGAAGCAACTATTCTGCCCTCAACTATGGTGAAGCTCTCCTGCAGCTACAGCTGAAATAAGATTTAACTGGCAGTCCAAACATTGAAACCGACTTGCTCCTTTGTGGCAAATTCAATAGTTGCCAGGTACGCTTAGCTATTTAAGCTGACATCTGTGCTGTACTGTAACAATAACACCACCATTATCCACATAATGCCCAGAATCATATGGACATTTGCTTACAGTCTGCATGTAACTAACCAGGATTGACCTGCAACTAATTGACAAGGTGTAACGACAATCTCCATTATGTGGCTGGTCACATGTCCAATTGTACACCTGAGATGTGCACCATCAAATCCACTCCGGTCACTTCCAGTTTTGAACAATACACACACACAGTGAGGCCAGCAGGGACCTTTGTAAATGTAGTGAAAGTGGCCCTAAATCCATAGAGGGCATAAGGAACCTTTTGTTGGTTGGTTGGTTGGCTGATTGGCTGGTTGGCTGGCTGGTTGGCTGGCTGACTGGCGTTGGTTGGTTGATTGGTTGGCTGATTGGCTGGTTGGTTGGTTGGTTGGCTGGCTGACTGGCAGGCCGGATAGGGAGGGAAGAATTAAATAGAGTAGGACAGACAGGCAGAGGTATAAAGCAGGTATATGCAGTCTTTGGAAATTTCTAAGCCCTGACCTCCAATCTGCTTGCAATTCTGAGACTGCTATCTCACCGATATGTCATCTGGATTCAGACTGTACAAGGCACCATGTACCATGTTTGCTCCAGTTTGCTCTACTCAGAGGAAAACTAGATAAAAAAAAACAATTCTTCTCTCTGCTGTTAGATGCATTTGGAAAAATGAGTTCATTTCTGGGCAGGCTAGAGAGAACTGGAGGGAAGTGCCACAGACGGGGCTGATTTTGGAGAAAAGATTGAAGAAAGAGTTGACATACTGGGGGAAGATGTGATTAAAGAGAAATGTTCAGCTGCCCTTCAATATTTACTAATGAGGTTGCCAAGGCTACTGTGTGTGGTTGAGGAGAAAGAAAAGAAACAGTGGAAACTCAGATTTCAGCAGCCAATGTCCCAACAAAATGTTTGGGACTACAGAATAAAGTCCTATAAGAAAAGCCAATTGCGCTGAAAGTTAAAATCCAGACTGGACAAAGAATGCACACATATCGAAGAGGGAGCCATATGACCTTGGCAAGGAAGGAAAAAAAATGGAAGAACGAGCATGAATTTTCCATCCGACAACTATTCCTAGGACTTACCCTTTTTCCTGGCCTGCGCAATGACTTCTGCTGCGCTTTTGCTCATCACCTTGGTGACATATAAGGGGCAGTTGGTCTGGTTAGCGATGGTTATCACCCGGTTTACTGCTTCAGCCTCAACCTATCCAATGACAGGGCAAAGAAAAGCACAGATCTGTATTAAAACAAGCAGATTTCCCCACAAACTGCCATAATATTCCATTTTTAAAAAAGAAATAAACAGCAAAAAAGCAAGAAACAGTTAAGAGAATTTTGCTTCTGTGCCAGTGGTTTCCAAACTTGGGTGAACCAAAGGTTCTTGGACTGCAGTTCCCAGAAGCCATCAATACCAGCTGTGCTGGGCTGGGGTTTCTGGGAGTTGCAGTCCAAGAACACTTGGGTTACCCAAGGTTGGGAACCACTGCCCTATATGATTCAGGACATAACAGCAACAATGATTTCTGTGTGCACCTGGATAAAAAGACATCTAGTCTATTTCTCAAGAGTCTCGAGAGATGGCCTTGATGGTTGAGGGATATGGGGAGTTGTGGGCAGGGGGAAATCCAAGCTATGATCTAACTTGTGCATCTAGTTACTCTGACTTAAGGTTTTTCAGTGGCCAAGGCGATTAGGCACCTAGTTTCTGTTATGTTCTGCGCCTGGTTTCTGAGACTGAAAAATGACTGGTAAAAAACAAGACACTCTCCTCTTCTAGTTTGTTTAGAAAAAAGTGCTTTGTTTAGAAAAAAGAGGTTTTTATGGTTATGGTGGCAAGATGGGCACTGGAAAATTTGGCTGAGGCCACCAAAAACAAACAAAGAAACAAAAATCTCCCTCCTGACATACGCACGGCCCCTAGGCTGGGCATCTTTAAAACCCAATTAAAAAAAAAAACAAGACACTCTCCTCTTCTAGTTTGTTTAGAAAAAAGTGCTTTGTTTAGAAAAAAGAGGTTTTTATGGTTATGGTGGCAAGATGGGCACTGGAAAATTTGGCTGAGGCCACCAAAAACAAACAAAGAAACAAAAATCTCCCTCCTGACATACGCACGGCCCCTAGGCTGGGCATCTTTAAAACCCAATTAAAAACATGGTTGTTTCCACCAGAAACAAACAAACAAACAAAAATCTCCCTTCTGACATACGTGCGGCCCCTAGGCTGGGCATCTCTAAAACCCTATTAAAAACATGATTGTTTATTCAGGCCTTCCCTCCAGCCAGTTCTTGATTTTCTTTTCTTATTCTTCCTATTCTTATTTTATTGTAGTTGTTGTTCATACTATGTATGTATTTGTTGTTTTATACTGTTTTTTTTTTTTTATATTGTAAGCCGCCTAGAGTGGACGAGTCGCCCAGATAGGTGCGGTATCAATCAATCAATCAATCAATCAATCAATCAATCAATCAATCAATCAATCAATCAATCAATCAATCAATCAGTCAAATAAATAAATAAATAAATAAATAAATAAATAAATAAATAAATAAATAAATAAATAAATAAATAAATAAATAAATAGGGCCTGTGATGAACAGCTCTCTACCTTGCCGGGCATGTCCTTATAGAATAGATGACATCAATGGCCTACATACACCGCCATCCTGTCTCCCACCATGCCCAACCAACCAGATGGCCAAGAAAAATGCAGAAGTGGAACACAAACACAATAGACCCATTTTCCTCTACCTCAGTGGTTCCCAACCTTGGGAAGCTTAGACTAAAACTCTCAGAAGCCTTCCGCACTACCTGTGCTGGCCAGGATTTTTGGAGTTATAGTTCAAGAACATCTGGTGATCCAAGGTTGGGAATCGTTGGTCTATCTTTTCATGGCGAGGGAGTGGCATTTAAGAAGCCTGTTAAGCCCACAACTGGAGCAGAGGTGGGGAAAGTGTGTCCCAGAGATTGGATATGACTTCAAGTCCCCATAGCCAAAGGAGCCCCCTTTTATAACCATAAACAGTGGGGGAGCATTCCTCAAAGCTTTTGATTTGGAGGACCCTCAAGCTTGAAGACATGGGACGTGGTGGCGTTGCAGGTTAAACCACAAAAGCCTCTGTGCTGCAGGGTCAGAAGACCAGCAGTCGTAAGATCGAATCCACGCGACAGAATGAGCTCCCGTCACTTGTCCCAGCTCCTGCTAACCTAGCAGTTAAAAAGCATGTAAAAATGCGAGAAGATAAATAAGTTCCACCACGGTGGGACAATAACAGCATTCTGTGTCTAGTCGCGCTGGCCGCATGACCACGGAAACTGTCTTCGGACAAATGCTGGCTCTATGCCTTGGAAACGGGGATGAGCACCACACCCTAGAATTGGACACGACTGGACTAAATGTCATGGGGAACCTTTACCTTAACTTTATCCAAGCTTGAAGAAAACCCTCAAACTAGACATCCTGTTATTTCTGCTTGTGCTTCCTCCGGGCTCTTTTTTCCAGCACTTCCAAAAGCAGCGTGGCCCACAGAGCCACCAGGGGCAAAAACTGCCCTCCACCAGGGTTCTCAAAGTCCAGGAGGTAATAATATAGCCACAGTGAGAAGCCGCTTTCAGCAGCCATATCCTTGATGACTTTTTAAAAAAAAACCCTTTGAAAGCCAGGATGGTGCCTCTCACATGTTCTGGTTTCAAATTCCACAGTTTGACCACGCTCTGTGTGGAGAAGCCTTTCCTTTCTCATCCCTGTCTCTTCACTGGATTCTAGTACTAAGAAGGAAGGGTGGGGTAGAAGCTCTCTCTATCCAGTGTCACCACACCATGGATAATTTTGCAGAATGCGCCCACAGAGACACGCATTTTTTCCTAAACGAAAAAAGCCTTCCAGGCCTGTGCAAAACCTCTACTTGTGGCAAGGAGGCATGACTGAAGCCACATGAAACGCGGCTGCAGCTTCTTCCACGTGGGCGGGGAGGCCCGGCTGGAAAATGTCGCCTTTCAAGTCTCTTGGGCAACGTGAACTGCAGTCCCGGCCTGGCCGGACTTAGTCACAGCTCACCCATTGCCAAAAATTCATTAACCCACTTGATTCCAGGACTCCTGGGTGTCATCGCTAAAATGCTGCTGTCCTTTCTCTCCCCGCTTTTCCCTACCAGAATCTATAAAACAGGGGTGAATGGAGTGTGGCCTTCCAGATGTTCCCCAAATGTTATTCCCACCAGCCTTAGCAAGCAGAGTCAATGATGAGGAATGTTCAAAGCTGAAACCCAAATAACATCTGGAAGGCTGGACTTTCTCCACCCTGGCTATGAAGGATGCGGGGCATCTCTATTTATTTAATTAGTTCCATTTATAGCCTGCATTTCCTCCGGAGAGCACAAATCAGGAGGCCTGGCTGTCCTCCTTCCGCTTCATCCTATGTCAGCCGTGCAAGGGAGGTCAGGCAACTGCAGAAGATTATTCAGATCGAGGGAGAATAAAATTCTGTGTCCTGGTATTCTGCAACTGGGTTCAACTGGTGATGCAGACGAACTCTCTGTTGTTGCCACCGCTAGCCATTTCTATCTAATATTCTCCTACAACCGCCTTTGTACTGAGAAACCTCATCCTAGTCATGGTCAGTTTCTTCTCTATGACTTATGCATTATCTTATTTTCACATCCTACAGAATATACTGTAGGGATGTGGTGATGCTGCGGGCTAAACTGCAGAGGCCTCTGTGCTGCAAGGTCAGAAGACCAGCTGTCGTAAGATCGAATCCATGCAACGGAGTGAGCTCCCGTCGCTTTGTCCCAGCTCCTGCTAACCTAGCAGTTCGAAAACATGTAAAAATGTGAGTAGATAAAAAGTTACCACCTCGGTGGGAAGGTAACGGTGTTCCGTGTCTAGTCACACTGGCCACGTGACCACGGAAGCTGTCTATGGACAAACACTGGCTCTACGGCTTGGAAACGGGGATGAGCACCGCGCCCTAGAGTCGGACACGACTGGACTAAATGTCAAGGCCAACCTTTACCTTTACCTTACAGAACACAGACCACACCTCCCACACATTCCACCTCTAGCTCCTTCCAAGTTTAAGAGTTTGATTCGTCATGGTGCCTCGACAGGGGCTGGACTTGCTGATCCATACGGTCCCATCTAGCTTTGAACTTCTAAGATGATAATGATGACAGTGAGTACAACCACAGTCCAGAGACCCTATAAATGCTCTCCGGGGTGTTCTGCCCTTTCATCTCTTGTCTAATTCAACCCACACCTGAGGCTCAAGAAATAAACGAGGCATTGTTGTGCCATCATGTCATTTCTGACTCACAGTGACCCTGGCAATTAAAGACCTTCCACATTTTCCTGTCATTAACAGTCCTGCTCAAGTTACTTGCTGACTAAAGGCCGTAACTTCCATGTTCAATCTTCCTCTTTTGCCTTCCACTTTTCCTGACATTATTCTTTCCAGAGTGTTTGTCAATACTACAAAAGCCTGTCTCCATTTATTTATTTTATATACTAGTGAGAATTCAGGATTGATTTGCTCTGGAACCAACATAATTTTCTTTCTGGAAGTCCATGCCACCAGTAAAGTGCTCCTCCAGCATTGAATACATGATGTGAGCCATGCAGAAATTACATCCCCATGAGTTTTGTACAAATGCAAAAGTACATGGTATCTTTTATTAGGCTACTGAAAAAAATAAACAAATAGCAAGCTTTCGTGCATGAAATCCACTTCCTCAGGCTCTAAACAACTCCCCGCTTCATGGAAGGTGCAGAAAAGTTGTCCAGAAATTGATATTATGTTATCTGCAAGAGATGATCAGTTCTTCCTGTGAGATGGAGACTCTACTGTCCCTTGAGCACGGTTTGCAAATTTTACATCCGTGAAAGCAATGTGCTTAGAGCCTGAGGAAGTGGATTTCATCCATGAAAGCTTGCTATTTGTTTAAACTTTTAGTGGTCCAATAAAAGGTATCACCTACTCTTGCATTTGTGTAATCTTTGGCACCATCCCAGCTCTTTCCTTTTTTGTTATGAGTTTTGTAAGCATACCGAGTCACACTTCACTGCAGTTCAAGCATGTGTTGCTCATTTTGCACATAACAATAAGCAAACTAAGGAAACAATGCCTGCAGGCTGTTGACCAATGGTATGCAAAACCAAACCACAGGTGGAACTGTAGCCATGGACTTTGCCAGGGCTGAAGCAATGTGCAGCTCTCCACATGCTGTTGAATGACATCTTCCATACATCCTAGCTAACTTAGCCAATGGTGAGAAACAAAGATGGGCACCAATCATGGGTTTGGCAGTTCATAACGGTTCATTCCTCAGACACACAGGTATTTTGTGGACACACCATCTTCCCTCTCCCGCCTCCTCCAGCAGGCACCCATTCACAGCAGAAGGTGGGGCAGGGAAGCCCAGGACACTGCCTCTGAGTAGGTGTCCACAAGAAGCTGGAGTGCCCATGGAACACCTGTGCATCCCAAAAAATGTACCATTGTGAACCGCTAAACTGGCAGCTCATGCCCATCTCTAGTGAGGAACGTTAGGGAACATCATTCCCTATCTCTGTGGTATGGGCACTGAAAGCATGACCACATGCTTGTGGACGCATGATGTAATCAAGACAGGCCATCCCTTGCCTAGCCCACATCCCGTCTAAAACCAGGCACTGAAACTACATATTCACAATCCTCTCACTCCACCCGATTAACCATAAGGGCTATAGTTCTTCAATTCAGTCATAAGTGAGCATGAAGAGTACCACCATCGGCTGCCAAATATTTGTGTCCTCTTTAATGGTTCCCCACATTTCTATTTCTGACCCCCTTATGCATGAAACTCCCACCGTAGCATGATCTCAACCTTTACATACCTCCCTAAAGCCCAAGGTTTTCCACAACTCTACTGGTTTAGTGTTCAATTAATGCAAAGCTTCAGCAAATGCTGTGACTTTTATTTCCCATATTACCATCATACCCCCCAAACCAAATGTTATGCCATTTCCAAGAACTGTTATAAGCTGCTCTTGTTACATATCTGAATGCCCTACCTCTGCATTTCAAAACAGAAGCGTTTTGGCCTGCGTAAGCTTAAGTTTGGCAGTGCTGCAATCTTTGTGCCTCAAATAGTGTCTTCTGTACCTCTCTATGCTTCTCCCTTCAACAATACTGGGGTTGGGGCACTGAACCCCCGTTTAGTTCAAAATCTGCGAATAATTTTTATAGCCCCCCTGAAATGTAACTAAAGCCACTATCAGAGGGGGGAAACAGAGGCAGGATCTCTCCTCCTCCCCCACATCAAGGAGCAGCACACTGGTGTGAACTCACCTGACCGGCATCAACCTCCTGGCATGTCCCAGCACCCTTTCCAAGATGCCACATGGAGCTTCTGTGAAAGGAGAGCTGGGTTGCCACCATTAAACCGAGGGCTGTCACACCACCAACAATAAGGACCTTGAGTATATCTGAGACCCCCTTTCTTCAGGCCACTTCCAGGAGATGAACAGCAGCACAGTATTTATTGAATGTATATTCATCCAATATTTATTTATTGAAAAATATTCATGTGTGAACAAAATCGCATTGCACGAACCCCTGCAATTCGAAGGAGAAGTGTATATCTTTTGTCAATTTCAGATTCCTACAGTGATCATTTTCCAAGGGGAAACTGACTACAGTCATTTGAAACCCAGCCATACATGATCCTGAAATTGACAAGAGTCCCCAAGAAAGATGTGAACAAAACCGCATTGCACGAACCCCTGCAATTCCTGAAATTGACAAGAGTCCCCAAGAAAGACAAAAATCCTGCCCAGGAGACTACCTCAGGCACAAGCAGCTGGGGACTGCGAAGCTTAAGCCTGTACAGGAAGTCACTGAGTAGGGCAAGTAAACAGCACTTAGCATGTCCTCCCAGCAGCTGTTGTGGGAAATCTCTCAGCCCTCCATGGAAGTCCCAGAGAGATTCCCCACAGGGGGCAAAAGATAAAGAATTCCTTGGAAGAAAGCCATTACCAAGTACTGGTTACATCACTTTTGCAGAGCTTGAAAAAGCTACTTGCTTATACAACCTCCAGAATTCCTCCAGAGGCTGAGCTGACTGGGAACGCTAATGGCGTCATTCAGAAAAAGGAACTTATCCAAGCTCTGAACCACTGTGTACAGAACACAATCTCGATCGCCTGCAGTGGAAGCCTCTGCCGTTGCTGCTGATAACATGAAGTACGACTGACCCAAAAGGCTAAACAGAACTTTGCACCCCTCTCACCTCTTCGGGTCGGCTCAAAACATGTCCCTCAGGACCGGTGATTCCCAGCTCCAAGATCCTCTGCTGCTCCTAAAGGAGAAGAAGAAAGACAAGCTGAATCACATCCATTACTCTTCCAAGAAATCAGTGCACGTTCCGCACATTAACCCCCACCATCCAGGCGTGCCTTTATCAATCTGGTTAACTGGATGTACGTAGATGCTGGTAAACACGTCTTATACCAGGATGTGAAAAAAGGTTTCCCCCTTGATTTTGAGATTGCATTCATTTTCCTTCTGAAAGATCCATTACCTAGCCTGATTTTCATAAAAACCCCAGGCCTGTAAACAGCAACTGGAGACCACAGTGGCTCAGAAACAGAACATGGCTCAGGAATTCAGTTACCATTCCAGAGTTGACCAAACAAGCTGAATATGAGCAAACAGTGTGACGTGGCTGCAAAAAAGGCAAATACTATTTTAGGCTGCCCTAACAGAAGTATGGTTTCCAAATCCCATGAGGAACGAGTTCCCCTCTGTTCAGCACTGGTTAAGTCTCAGCTAGAGCAGTGGTTCTCAAATTTGGGTCCCCAAATATTCTTGCCCTGCAAGTCCCAGAAATTCTGGCCAGAACAGCAAGTGGCGAAGGTTTCTGGAAACTGCAGTCCAAGAACATCTGTGGACCCCAGTTTGAGAACCACTGATCTAGAGTACTGTGTCCCAGAGTGCATGACACATAATAACGGGCAAGTTGCAGGAAGCCAAATTTCAGCTGAATATCAAGAACAACTTCTTAACTGTTAGAGCAGTATGACAAGAGAACCAATTACCTCGGAAGGTGGTAAGTGCTCCAAAACTGGAGGCATTCAAGAAAAAAAATTGGACAGCCATCTGTCAGATATAATTTGATTTGGATTCCTGCACTGAGCAGGGGGTTGAACTCGAAGGCCTTATAAGCCCTTTACAACTCATTATTCTATGATTCTCAGAAAAATCTATTACTATCTCATTCGAACAGTTCTTGATTATTAGCAGGCATGAAAAGAAATGGCTTTTTTCCTCTGCTATTTTTAAACCAGTGGAAGTAAATAAATAATAACAAGAATCACTAATCCTTTCTGTATCACTCGAACAACCCACACAATGATCAGCCTATCCTTGACACAGAAAACACTGTGCCCATAGATAAGGGCTCTTTTAATTATCTGAAAGACGCACAATGTCTGTCTACATGTGACACAATGCATCTCCTTACATTAATCTCAGATTTCTTCTATCACAGCCTTTCCTAGTTTACTGGCACCATTATTGGCCATGCTATCTGGGATGGATATGGATGTTAATGTCTGGAGGGCTCTGTGTTAAGGAAGACTCTTCTACCTCACCCTACTCCCAATATTGCTGAGGAAAATAGTTATATTTTTGACATTATGCAGCTCTGCAAAGTACCATGGATTCCAAGAATCCATAAAAACATAAAAAGATACACAAACATGAACGGATACCTCAGCAATGATGTCACCATTCTCGGCATGGACTTGAGCGATGGCACCAATGTCTCGGATCACACTCAGGACTTCATATATCTAGAGAGGAAGAAACAGATGTTGTATCTCTGGAGCAGCATTCGCTTTAACTGAAAAAAAAAGAAGTCCCTTCCCAAATCCCTCCTGGATTCAGAAAGCTGAATTCCCTGGTCATCTGGACCGTGTTGAGGGATTTTCAGAAACTCATTCTGAAGCTTTGGAATGGTGGTAAGTACTGTGTTTCCTTGAAAATAAAAAAGGGTCTTATATTAATTTTTGCTCCAAAAAAACACATTAGGGCTTATTTTCAGGGATTTTTTTTCATGCACAACAATCTTTTCTTGTTGTTTAGTCATTAAGTTGTGTCCGACTCTTGGTGACCCCATGGACCAGAGCACGCCAGGCCCTCCTGTCTTCCACTGCCTCCCAGAGTTCGGTCAAATTCATGTTGGATAACAATCTACATTTATTCAAATACAGTCATGTCATCTTCTGGTTGCTGCACAAGATACAAATGCATTCGCTTTAACTGAAAAAAAAAAGAAGTCCCTTCCCAAATCCCTCCTGGATTCAGAAAGCTGAATTCCCTGGTCATCTGGACCGTGTTGAGGGATTTTCAGAAACTCATTCTGAAGCTTCTGAATGGTGGTAACTACCGTGTTTCCCTGAAAATAAAAAAGGGTCTTATGTTAATTTTTGCTCCCCCCCTGGAATGGTGGTAAGTACTGTGTTTCCTTGAAAATAAAAAAGGGTCTTATATTAATTTTTGCTCCAAAAAAACACATTAGGGCTTATTTTCAGGGATTTTTTTTCATGCACAACAATCTTGTCTTGTTGTTTAGTCATTAAGTTGTGTCCGACTCTTGGTGACCCCATGGACCAGAGCACGCCAGGCCCTCCTGTCTTCCACTGCCTCCCAGAGTTCGGGCAAATTCATGTTGGATAACAATCTACATTTATTCAAATACAGTCATGTCATCTTCTGGTTGCTGCACAAGGGTGGAGGGCAGGGTTTCACTTATCTTGGGCTTATTTTTGGGGTAGAGCTTATATTACGAGCATCCTGAAAAATCATACTAGGGCTTATTTTCAGGTTAGGTCTTTTTGGAGAGAAACAGGGTACCTGAGTAGCTCACTTCACAAATCAAAACTGAAAACTGCTAGGGATCAAAGTTAGCCAACGGATGTCTTTGTTTTCTCAAAGCATCTGCACAACTCATTTTAACGGGCTAGATTGTGGATCCTTGGAAAGTTAATCCCTCAAAAAAAAGTTACTTTTTCAAGCTGTGACCCTAGGAGAAGACCTGAGCAGGCAAAGATTTCTTTAAAAGGCTACGGCAGCTCACTAATTAGCATTCCTCCCCAACCACACAAAAAAAGTCAGTGTTCAGTTATTTCATGGTAATGCCCAGTGACTTCATGAAACAAACCTAGAAACACACCAGAAAAACATGCACAAAATAAGAAACTGCCATAGGTCAACAGGGTCGATCCCTACTGTGATGCAACACCTCAGACAGGAGGTGTTGGGACAGCTACCTCGTCATTTGCCCTGTGTTTCCTGGGCATTCTCCTCTCTTAGAGCAGTGGTTCCTAACCTTGGGTAACCCAGCTGATTTTGGACTGCAATTCCGAGAAACACCAGCCAGCACAGCTAGTGCTGAAGGCTTCAGGGAATTGTAGTCCAAGAACACCCGAGTCAACCACCCTCTTGGTGGACAGAGCTCTGAGTGTAACATCATAGACACCATTCTCCGATCACCAGGGAGCAATAAAGAATCTTGCCCTTTGGCCAATGCTGAACTAAGAGTCAATTTCCAGGCCAGTTAGCCTCTGTAGGGGAAACAGAGAACAGAGCATTCATCATCTTTTGCAGCAAGAAGCAAAGTGTTTTTGGGCCAGTCCCGTACCTGAGAATCTGTTAGCTGAAAGCGGTCCTTGAAGGCCATGTACACCAGGAAGGAATTCACACCTAGTAGGAAGAGAGAACAATTTAAAGTTTACCACAATTCTATTTAGTAGTAAAAAAAAAAAAGAAAAACAACATAAAAAAATGAATACAGTCATATGGTGCCACACTTAAGATTCGGCAGTCTGGATCATGCATTTAAACCCATTCATTGACTCAATGAAAGAGTTGACTCACCAGGTTCTTATAGATTTACTCAATCTATACTAGCTGGGACCCAAAATTGGATCTTGGCCTCTGCAAGCCCCACGTCATCTATCAGTGCCAAGCACTAAAACTGCCAGGGCACAAAAATCTATCAATTAACATACTGAACATACGCACCCAAGTACTATTTTGTTTCTGCACGTGGACCAATGAGCCGGCGCTACAGATTCCCAAGACTTACCGTGATCCTTCACCAAGGCTTCCATCTCTTCCTGCACTCCTTTATGCCACTCGGTGATGTCCACATGCAAAGAGTAATCACAGCAGGACTTGCTGTCTGCCCATTCTCGCCACTGGTCAAACGCAGACAGCAAACTGGTGCCTGGCTCAGGAATAACATGATCGACTGGAGAGATTAAAATGAAAAGAAATACGGTCAACCATTAATGTGGGATCACAGGTTTTAGAATAGCTGAATCACAGTTACCAAAAATTAATTAATTAATTAATTAATTAATTAATTAATTAATTCATTCATTCATTCATTCATTCATTCCTTGTTACAAGATGAAAGAGATTAACCTCTCCCCCGGTGCCATATTTCAAACTTTCAAATCCAACTTTGAGCTCCTTTTGATTTGGGACTTTGCTCCCCTCATAAGCTTTGACCTTAGGCTAGAAGTTCTCTTTCCGGGCTGGCCTGCCTCATAGGACTGTTGTGAAGATAAAGTAATAGGGAAGAGGATGTCCATGTGTGCCTCCTAGGCTTTTGTTTTCTGTTCTGTTCTTTTTTTTTCTTTTTTCTTTTTTTTACAGTGGGCTACTTAAAATCTGGTGGCACATTTTGCCACCAAAATTTGGCAACGCAGAGGCCACAGGCAACCCGGCTATTATCTACTCCTGCTCAGAAAAGCAGGGAAATGTGCATTTTCCCAACTGTCACATCTCTAGCAAGTCATTATGTCGAAAACTGTTCACTCCTCCATTACAAGCCCATAAACTGACAAGCCAAAACCACACTGGAAACAACCAGCCGAAAACATTCTTTGCCCCACTTTGAAAAGCAGTTGCAGACAGTCCTCTCCAGATGCCTCCCACGGCAGCCAAATGGGTTGAATAAATTAGGATCAGAAAGAAGAAGTGGTGGCGGCAGAGAGCGGGTATGAGGAAGTCAGCTTCAGGATTAGTAAAGCGGCACAATGAAAGCAAAGCTGTCACCGCATCATCCTTAACCCCCTTTCAGCTCTCTTGACAGTTCAAGGCAGGACTAAGCCAAGCCTGGCACCACTTATTAACTCTGATCGGGAAACTGCCAGCTGATGATAATAAATAACACACCATCTGCAAAACAGCCCAGGGGGTTATGCAAATCAAACCCTCCTGAAAAGTTAAGAAGTTTTCTTCTTTTTTAGTTGCCATGTGGTATCTGTGTAGAAAGAAGTCTGAGTTGGATAATGCCTTTATTAGATCACAAAAAAGTTACGACCAAACCAGGATCCTGAGTCCTCCAGAACGCTTAATCAGGCATAAGTGTCATAAAAGGTGAGGGAATGGGAAAGATGAAGAAAAATCCCAAAAACCTGGCTAGTGGTACTTGTCACTGTACTCGAAAGCTGACTGTTGGCGAAGTAATACAGTGGTACCTCGACTTACGAACAATCTGTATTGGAACAGTGCTCATACGTCGAAAAGTTCGTAAGTCGAGGCAAACGTTTGCATAGGAATGCATTGAAAACCATTTAATCTGTGCCTGCTGTTTTCCGTTCATATGTCGAGGCACTGTTTATAGGTAGAGGCATTAGTTCCCATAAGAACTAATGCAAAGCCAGTTAATCCATACTCTACCACTGGGGGGGTTAATTTTTTCTTCTTTTGACCTAAGATGAGGGTTTATTTTTTTCTTCTTTTGAACTTAAGTCAAAAAAGGGGCAGGAAAGTTTTTTATTTTTTTTATTTTTCTCTTTTTTTGGTTCGTAAGTCGAGGCTCTGTTCGCAAGTCAAAGCAGCTTTTTTCGACCGGAGCCGTTCGTAACTTGAATCATTCACAAGTAGGGAGCAACCGGAGCCGTTCGTAACTCGAATCATCCGCAAGTAGGGACGTTTGCAAGTCGAGGTTCCACTGTACAAGGACTGCACTTACAATATAAAACAAATTCAAACTATAACATTACATGCCTTTTATAATGGAGTTTTATTTACAACCTCACATGCTGTCTGCAGTTTGGGTGACTGGATGGGACTTTTGTGGGTGGGGTCATCATCTATCCAGCATTAAGCAATCATTCCTTGAATTAAAAGAGAGCCCCGCCTCTCTGCTTGGGACTTTTGTGGGTGGGGTGATCATCTATCCAGCATTAACCAATCATTCCTTAAATTAAAAGAGAGCCCCGCCTCTCTGCTGAGTGTTCTATTCCTTTCTTTGTCGGGTGGTGGCAGTTGCTTTTTGGTGTTGATCTGTTCAGTTGGTTGCCAGTATGTGGGCAGTAAAGAAAGCAGTATGCACAAATCTGCAATTCCAAGCAATTGTAAATAAAGGGGTTTTTTTTAAATTCTTTCTCTTTCACAAGTCTTGGAGTGAGTTACTGACAGTGCCAGTTAATGAGAAGTCTGGGGCACCTGAAGCTACTCTACTTCATGGATCTGTGTACTTCTGCTGTGTGGGGCAACAGAGAATTTTACCAGAAATTCAAAAGTCTACAATATCTCATACTTATGCCTAAAGTCTAAAGGATTTAAAAGGTTACCTTGCATGTAACTTTTTAGCAATCCAATACATATATCACATCACAGTCTTTTGCTTCTACACATCAATCACACAGTGATTGTAATTTTTATTTATATGCTTTTGCTACTAGAAATAGTACAATCAGCTACCTGGGGCAGGTTTCACTGCCAGATGAAGATGTTTCTCCCACGAAACTGCCCTTCAGTAAGAATCCCATCTCATCCAACTGCTAGGGGTGATGTTGACAGGTTTGGTTTTCAATTGACTTTTCAACCCTTGGAGACAAGTAAACTCACTCTCTTGTTTAAGGAGGAGGAAGAGACAAGTCAATTCTGATGCATGGCAACCCTTTCCAGGATTTTCTAGGTAGAAAATACTCAGAGAAGGTTTACCATTCCCTCCTTCTTGGGGTGCCGAAGAACTGTGCAGCTTGCCCAAGGCCACCCAGGCTGGCTCTTCTCCTGAGAGGCTCCAGAGCCAGAGTAAACCACTGACCTTTTTAGCCAACTCTGCCTCTTTAGCTGACATAAAATCTACTCCTTTTCCTGCTAAATCCTAATCCCCCCCCCATGACCTGGCAATGGAGAAATCCTTGGGAGATAGGATGAATTTTTAATCTACTAAGTGGGGAAAGATTGCACCTTCATGCTTTATTTTGTAGTGGACCCTCAGCCCATACTTGTTCCACCAGAAGTTGGCTTTTAAGAAACATGGCCACTACATCGAGCCAGATTTCTCAGGCTTGAAGGCTGTTTTGTTTCCTGATCTGTCCTGAACATTTTATCACATCAATGCCCATTGAAGATTTCTGGGGAACTTAAAGGTTCACCTTGGTTGTATCTTTTCAGAGGTCCAATAAGGGTATTATCCAACAAAGACTCTTTAATTATACTGAAAACCAGACATTCAAGTCCAATTGTTATTTCACATACACCACAGCCCTATCTGGATGGCGATGCCACACATCTAACCTCCATATGAAGAGTGAGAACTGCCAGCCCTTCAGATGTTATTTGGTCACAGTTCACATCATCCCCTTCTACTGGTTGGGACCAATGGGAGCTGGAGGTCAACACCCTCTAAGGCCCAGAACCAGCACACCTTGCTTCTCGGCAGATCTCCAGCTCCTCTTGAACACACAAGAAATCTGGATTTCTGCTCACTGTTTTTCCTACAAAACAGAGCGGCTGCTGGAAAATCCCTTCATCCCCTTAGGTGGCTGAGAAAATTTTTTTTTTAAAAAAAAATGGGGTGTTAAAACACTGGAAGTCTCTAAAAGCACGGCAGAATCACACCCATGCCCTCTACAGGGGACCTTCTGAGCCCATTTGTTAAAATAAAGTATTATTGGGGAGGATGAGGATATTGGGAGGTTCTTGAGGTTCTGGCGGGTTGCACGTGTCCATAGGCCACATGTGTCTCTCTCGGTCCAAACTCCAGCCTGGACTCCAGTTTCAGGAACTGAACTGGGATCTTCTCTGGACAAAGTTAAGGACTTTTCCCAACACAGCCAACCTATTAAGCACTGCCTTAATGTCTCCTCTCTCTCTCTCTCTCTCAGGATATTGGGAGGTTCTTGAGGTTCTGGCGGGTTGCACGTGTCCATAGGCCACATGTGTCTCTCTCGGTCCAAACTCCAGCCTGGACTCCAGTTTCAGGAACTGAACTGGGATCTTCTCTGGACAAAGTTAAGGACTTTTCCCAACACAGCCAACCTATTAAGCACTGCCTTAATGTCTCCTCTCTCTCTCTCTCTCTCTCTCTCTCTCTCTCTCTTTCTCTTTAAGCAAATTAATCCGCTCAGGATTAAAAAGAAAAAAAAACCCATAACTAAAACAAGCACAAGAGAGAATAAGCCACAGTGAGAAAACAACGGCTACTACTGTTTGCTTATCTGTGTGGTTTAACACTCCCGGGCTGGCAATGTGCCACCCTGAAACATTATGGGTCTCATTAAAATTTAAAAAAAAAACATGGTGAGAGAAGATAAGTGCTATGAACATATCTGGCCTGGAACTGTGGAAGATTCAGGGTGACCTTATTTATTTTCTTTTAACTGTCTAAAACAAGTACGCGACCATCTGTAACAAAGAACGCTTTCATAAAACATCGGCCCCACAGAAAAGGTGAAAGAGAAACCTAAGAATGCAGTTCAACCAAGAACACTAGAAAAGGATGGGAAGTAGATTTCGCTTGTTTTTCAGAGAAGAATCAGTTTAACTAAAAAAAATATACCGATAGCCCATATTTCACTTTCTGTTCCTCAGGGCACCCTTAAAGCTGGGAGGAGCAAATTCTACATGTCTAGAACAAGCAAAGAAATAAACACACACAAATGCATACACACACAAGCTTAAGACAGCCACACCATGTTCTATGACATCCCAGTTTTTTTTTCCTATCTGGGAATGTTTAAATGATATTTCAAAACATGGCTTTTTAGGCAGGCTTTTTCCAGAATCAACATCTGAATAACGCCTGATTTGAAAACATGGCTTTTTAGGCAGGCTTTTCCAGAATCAACATCTGAATAACGCCTTGCACCTTTCAGTGTTTATTTCTCTTCCACCATCTTACATCTTAATCATTTAAGCCTGTATTGATTTTAGGTTACGGTATATGATCTGTTTTTGATTTTTTGATTTGTGTTTGATTTTGCTTAACTTTGCATTTATATCCAC